CGTGGCCCGCGCGGCTAGTCGGGAGCAGAGGTAAATAAAACCTGTGATGGGAAAGCTGCCCTGGAATTTAGGTCACAGGGAGCAGCTGGAATTGTGCAGGTTTCACAAGACCTTTTAGTTACTTTTTCACTTCTCATCCAAAATCACCCCATTTTTTACAGCCCTCTTGCACTATACTGCGGTTCTAGGCTCACTGCTGGCACGGAGGGGAGAGCAGCCCCCACACTGAGCTACGGTAACTGCCTGGAAGGTTATGAATCCAGTCTAGATCAATGAGATTCCAGCTCGTGTCTGGTAGTAGCAGTGAGGAATTTGCAAGATGGGATGCGGGTTCCAGGAAGGTATATGCTGGAGGAGCACATGAGCTCTGCAGCAGCTTTGATCGGTCTGCCTTGTCTTCGTGCAGGTTCCCAAGACCGTCATAGAGGGTGTGATTTCATTAAAGTGCCCTGGAGTGCCACCGCTCCAGAGCTGCCAGCTGACCCCACTGGGGCTGACTGTCCAGTTACAGCGACCTGCTGCCTTCCAGCAAGTCTTGAGTTCCATTGCTGAGTTCACAAAGCCTTCCCAGTCAGCCAGCGGGCAGAACATCATCCTCAGCTGCTCTCCGCTGCAGAACCGGAGAAGCCTCGACACGCTCAGCCTGAGCAGTCTGAGAGCCATTCTAGTAGCCGACCACTTGGCTGAAGTCCTCAGAATCCAGGGGTCAGTGGATTGCTTTCTCCAGCTCTTTAAATGCTCTTCCATGCTCAGTCTTGTCTGTGGTGTTTCTCTTTGATTCTAGGATGAATGTCCACCTGGTTCCCGCTGTGCTGGATGAAGGACTCCAGCCATTCCTGCACCAGCTGAGAGTTGCCTGGCCCTCAGAGGTGGACGCAGCATTCATTACTGAGGATGTTTTGACCTTGAAGCAAGTCCTGAGCCAGTGCCCTTACGCTACCGTCCCAGGACTGGAGCCAGGCCAGACCAGGCTGGCTGATGATGTAATATTTAAAGTGCATTTGAAAAACTTCCTGGCGCAGCAGAGTTTGGAGGGCTACGACCCCAACCTGGATGTGTGTCTCGGTAAGTGTCACGTGTTTAACATGCTGACTGGGCGGGCTCTGCTCTCAAATCCCCCTTTTTCCAGTCCCTTTGCCCTTCTGTGGCTCTGGTGCACCAGCCTTTGGCATCAGAAGCCTGGGCCACGCCCTGGCTTCAAAGGACCCGGAGGCGGCCGTGGCCCCTTCTGTGAGCCTGTCTGAACCTTTTCCTCTTCCATGGCAGTGACCGAGGAGAAAGTGCGACTGCTGGCCGAGCTGCGGCATGTTGCCCTGCGCTGCACAGTGAGTAATCCTGCCCGTGGCTGCCCCGCCTGCCGGGTGTGTGCTGCTCAGAGCCCTGCCCACCGTGGAAGCAGATCTAACGAGCTGCTGCTTTGCTGCAGGGCACAGGGCCGGGGAGCTGCTGCAGGGTGGTGCACGTGGTGAGCTGTGAGGGCGAGTTCCAGCAGCAGCAGGTGGACTTGCTCTGGAGGATGCTGGACGTGGGAGCTCACACAGCCTTGCAGGTGAGGCCGCTCTCTGACCCACCCATCCCTGCCTGCCATGGCAGCACCCAGGAGAGGGCGACGAGCGTGTTTCCTGCTGCTGCCCAGAGCAGCCTGGGTCAGGCAGAGGGGCATGGAGCGTGACTGCCTCGGATTCCCTCCAGGGAGAGCTCATGGTGAAAGGGGCCCTTGGAAACCTGCCTTTTCCTCCTCTGGGGTCTCCCACCCTTCCCGAGAGCCCTGCGCACGAGAGGCGCTGGCCCTCCCCGCAGCCTGGGGTGCTGAGACGAGTTTGCCATCAGACACAGCACAGCTGTTTTTTTACTGACTGAACGGTGACAGCACAGAGGTGTGGGAGCATCCGTTCAGAGCCGGGGTCCGGCTGGCCAGGTGCTTGTCACTCTGGGTTTAAGCACAGCTGACTGGTGCATGCTTTCTCGCGCACCAGAGTCTCATGCATCCCTGGGAATTCACTCGCTCCTCTCTCTCTCTCAGAAGCACCTCGTCTGTGGGCCAGTGAAGGCTGCTAACTCCCCCTGTCCTGTGGGGGCACCCCAGTACTTCCAGTAAGTTGGCACTCGGCAAGGACGCTGCTGCATTTCCCTGCCTCCTGCTGAGGCGGCAGATGTGAAACGCTGCCCGTCCTGCTGGCACTGCGGTGTGTTCTGAGGCCTCACAGCGCCTCCCCGAGTGGCTCATGGCACTGCAGACGGGTAGGAGACAGGGAGGCGCTGGGAAGAGGACTCTGGTGTCCTGACTTCCAGTCTCCGCTTCAGGCCAGTAGCCGTGCATTCTGCAAGCCTAGTCTGCACAGTCCTGCAGGGTGACCGCTCCTGCCCCGAGAAGCAGGCCTGGACCGCCAGCACCGGCACAGCGGGGGGTGGGGTCAGTTCTGGGGCTGAAGAGCAGGCCTGAGAACAAGGCTGAGATCTGGGTGCTGGACGCCAGCTCACTGTAGCATCTTCCATGGGAGGGCTTGGTGCTGACAGGTGTATCCAACCTGCTGTCTGCTTCCAGTTCGTGCTCTGCCCTGGCTGGAGACTGTGACAGTCCCTGCCTCGGGGCAGCCACCGGGGGCCCGGGCCAGAGAGACGTCTGCATCCTCAGTCCCTGATCCGAGTCCTCCCTCGTCGGAAGCCAGAGGACAGGCCCTCCGGACACCTCTCCTACCTCCTGCCGGGGCCCAGCTGCCCTTGTAGTGCGGCTCGGGGCCATGCTACTTGTCCAGCAGAGGGGCCCAGTGCCAGGCAGCGTGGGCGGGAACCCGGCCTGGCAGGAGCAGGGCTGGTAGGATGCTGGCCTTGCGGCAGGCTGTTTTCCCAGCCCTGGGCTCTCGGGCTGGCAGAACCGGAGCCAAGCCTTGGCAGCCAATGGGAGCGGGCAGAGACTGACCAAGGGGAGATTCGGTTCCACCCCAGGCCAATCAGAGTGCTTCTTTCCGCCGGGCGGCTCTCGGGGACACTGTCCGATGCCCAGCCCCAGTACGTGGCATCGCCATGGTGCTCTGGCGGGCCAGGCTGGAGCCAAGCGCAGCTAGGCCTGGCACGCGGACGACAGCCCAGGCCCTCTCCATTGACTCCCCAGGCTCCGGCGGTGCCAGATGTACGACGCCTCGGTGGTGAAGTACGGAGACCTCGTTCAGGGTGAGGCGTTGCGCTTTGCTTGGCCAGGGGCTGCCTCGTCCTGCCGTGCTCCCTTCGGCTCCCAGACACGCTCTGCAGCGGCTTGGTGGATTCGCAGGGCCCCGGCAGGGACTGGCAGACCTTCCCTGCTGCGCGTACGCGGGGCCTCGGGGGGTGTGTGCAGGGAGCAGGCACCAGCACCAGGCGACTAGCTGGGGCTCAGCGCAGGCCAGTCGCTTCACAAGCAGCAGCCAGTGAACTCCCCCTGTGCCTGCCCATGCTGGTGGGGGAGCGCGGCAGCCGCGGCCAGCCTGGTGCGTGGAGAAAGGGGGTGCTGGCACGCGCGGCTATGCCTGGCACCTGCTCCCAATGCCCCTCTTCTGGCCTGTGGTCTGGGGCTCAGAGCTACAGCCACGGTGTCTGACGGGTGTGCAGGCTCCCGGGGGGCAGGGCTGGGGGCTCTACCGGGCGCCTCCTTGCCATGTTTTCTGCACAGATGACTCATGGACCGAGATCATCGGCGTCTTGACGTCCGCTGCCATCCGCTTTGAAATGCTGAGCACAGCCCCCCACAGTCAGGTGAGCACAAGGAACCACACGGCCTTTCCTTCCTGGGCCTCAGAGGCAGTCCCCCAGTAGGGCGGCCCCTGGGCCTTCGGGGCCCCTCGGGGGCAGGCGCGCGGCCAGGGACAGGAGTCTGATGCACAAGCCTGACCCCGGGAGCCCTGGGGGCCAGCGTGCAGCAGTTCCCTGGGAGCAGCTCAAGCCACAAAGCACTGGCAGAAGCCAGCTCCGTTCTGAGCGCAAACCCAGAGCAAGGGGCTGATAGCGGCTCTTGCCAGCCCACGCCAGCTTGGGTGTGGCCCTGGCCCCAGTGGGAGGGGGCAGCAAGAGCAGAGACTGGGCAGCTCCCACACGGCGCTGGGGCAGGACTTGCTCAGGGGGCGACTACAGGCAAAGGGGGGGCAGTGAAGCAAAGGCACACGACCGGACACACGAACAGTCTGCATGTGGGCCCCCGCGTGACCTGGCTCCCACACGGCGCTGGGGCAGGACTTGCTCAGGGGGCGACTACAGGCAAAGGGGGGGCAGTGAAGCAAAGGCACACGACCGGACACACGAACAGTCTGCATGTGGGCCCCCGCGTGACCTGGGACGTTCCCAGCCCCCTAGCGCCAAGGCGGGCGCAGAGCGTGCCGGGGG